GAGATGGGTATTTTGTCATAATTTTATGTGTATGTGTCTGTTCAGAGGATTCAGTTCGGTGTTCGCGCTTCTGTGCGCGTAGAGAACAGCGCGCGAGTAACGAATCGAGTTCCCTTTCGCCTTTTCTCTCTGGAATTGTTTAACATTCGCTTGCTTGTGTAAATATGAACAAATGATAAACTTATACTCTGTTATGGTTCAATTTTGCAATTAATTTATTTGTTCGTTTAACCACTACCTGGTAACACCAATGAGAAATTCATTTTAAACTCAAAGTATGGCCCTAAACCTTAAGACATTACCATATTGGAATAATTCACTTCTAAAATAGGTACAAATGTGTGAAAGTCAAACTAATGTCATGTGGGGCTGTGTTTGTAGATTGTCCGGCTGTATGGTGACAGAGGAAGGCTGTGGTTATGTGTCTTCAGCTCTGAGTTCAAACCCCTCAAACCTGAGAGAGCTGGATCTGAGCTACAATCACCCGGGAGATTCAGGAGTCAAGCTGCTCTCTGAAAAACTGGAGGATCCAAACTGCTCACTGGACAAACTCAAGTATGTTATTTCAACTCCTTAGAGCCTGTTTGTATACAGTCGGTAGTCAACCAGAATGCCTATTACCTCCGTGCTTAAATACAAATTAGTCACATGTGAAACCCGTTTACGAAATCACTACCAGGTGGCACGAAGGGACGGTTGACACCATTTGCTCAATAAAGTGGAAAATTTACGTTTTTAATTGTGAATGAAGATAAAAAAATAATTAAACATTGTAACATTAAATCTCGACTAATTATTCATCATATTTTGGTTACATTGTTTATTTTTATTTTAAATGTTGCAGTACAACATTTTGAAACCACATTACTTAATTGCAACTAAAATACAATATTATGAAAAGTTGTTTTTGTTTTGTTTCTGAATAAAGATGCATGTTCATTTTCTGACTTTCTAAATATTGTTCAGTACCATATTAAAGTCAAAATTTCATAAACAAGTTACACCTTTTTGTAAAATAAATAAATAAATAATAGAAGAAACAATCCAATGTTCTGCAGAAACACATTCGGTCTGAACACATCATCTTACTCTCTGTATTTTTTCCTGTACACTCTTTATTAAGGTATAGTTAAAATTTCTGTATAATTTCTTAAGTAAATTTTATGATGTATGAAAATGTATATTTTTGTGCTATTTATCTGTTGCCGTCTGTCAGCCTGTGAAATTGATTCTCCTGCCATATTGAACATTTACCTGGATTTAGTGCAGGTGTTGATTTCATGTTCTGGTTTGAGACTCAAACACGCGTCTCACCGCTGGAGTTTCTTCAAGCTCTAGTGAAGTGCAGGAAGAGATTTTACTGCTTCAGAATCTCTGTGCTTTAGACCAGTTCAGTGTCTGAGAAACCAACCTCTGTGTGTGCTTTATAGTGTGGATCATGGAGGAGAGATCAGGATTACAAGAGGACCACGGAAATGTACGTCTACACACACACACGCGTCTGATTTACTATCTTTGTGGGGACTCTCCATAGGCGTAATGGTTTTTCTACTGTACAAACCGTATATTCTATCACCCTACACAAACCCTACACCTAAACCTACCCCTCACAGAAAATGTACAAAAATAAAAATCATTCTGTATGTTTTATAAGCTTGTTTCCCCGTGGGGAAAACAAAAACACCTAAATTGAGTCCTCATGAGTTTGTATGTTTTCAGGGTTAATTCCCCACCGGGATAGAAAAACAGGTACACAAACACTGTCTCTTTCTCTCTCTCTGTCACACACCCACACATTTACTTAGCTATCTAAATGGAGACTCTCCATAGGCGTAATTGTTTTTATACTGTACAAACTGTATTTTCTATCACCTTACATCTAAACCTACCCCTTACAGAAAACTTTGTACAGTTTTACAATTAAAAAAATACTTTGTTTTACAAATGTTTTACAAAAAAAAAAAAAAAGTTTTACAAATGAGGACGTCCCCAAAATATGGTTAAGTAGGTACACGCACACACAGCTTTAGTGATTGTTGTTGTGTTATAAATGTCTGTTTTTGTCTTCAGGGGTCTGTTTTCTCTCACTGGATCCAAAAACAGCAAACACTCAACTCATTCTGTCTGAGGAGAACAGAAAGGCGACATGTGTGGAAAACATACAGACGTATCCTGATCATCCAGAGAGATTTGATCATTGGTATCAGGTGTTGTGTAGAGAGAGTGTGTGTGGACGCTGTTACTGGGAGCTGGAGTGGAGTGGAGATGGTGTGGACATATCAGTGTCATATAAGAGCATCAGCAGGAAGGGATGGGGGGTGATGAGTGTGTGTTTGGATATAATGAACAGTCCTGGAGAATCAGCTGCTCTCCCTGCAGTTACTCATTCATACACAATGACATATGGACTCGTCTCACTGTAAAGTCCATCAGCAGTAGAATAGGAGTGTTTGTGGATCACAGTGCAGGAACTCTGTCCTTCTACAGCGTCTCTGACACAATGAGCCTCATCCACACAGTCCAGACCACATTCACTCAGACGCTCTATCCTGGGTTTAGGGTTTTTACTGGATCATCAGTGAAACTGTGTTGATGAATCAGAATAGATTAATAAGGGTAGAGGACTAACAGCTGAATATTTTGCCAGTTAAAGAAAATCAACATGCAAGAATTTAATCAATTAACTGTTTTCCTTTCGACTGCACAAAAAAAGTTAATTAAAATCAAATTTGTTCATATAAAAGTACATCACTGAAATCAATAAGATCAAGAAAAGCAAGAATATGATCATTCAGAACGATAATGTCGTGGCCTGTCATACCCTTCCACGAAGGAATGGCGGAGCGAAGCCTGCAATAGTTCAAAATAAGAGAAAGTCAGTATAATCCAAGAGGATTGTATATGTTTAAAAAAGTAAGAGCAAGAACTAATGCAAAAAGTAGGTGTTTATCTGCCAAAGGGGTAAATCTATGGAATAAATGTGATAAGGAATTAAAATTATGTAATTCACTTGGCAAATTTAAGAAAATGTATAAAAATAAGGTATAAAATGTATAAAAAGAAATAATTATATGACTCAGTACCAATAATTGTGAATGTATTGTTACAATATTGAAGTAATAGCTGGAAAGTGTATTTTTGTTATGTTTGTTTTGAACGGTGCGGTCTGTCTCATATTTTCTTGATGACCGCGAAAAGAACTCAAAATACTCTGTAATTTTTGATTGTACATATAAGAATAAGGTATCGTTTGAAACTGCAAAGGGTCTACTTTTATTTATGTATAGTCATAATAAGAACAAACCAATGTGCTTTTGTAAAATAAAGAAAATATACAGGGTGCGCTCTCCACCGTCTCGCTCTCTGTCACCTCTCTTCACAGACACGTAAATAAAACAACATGAATCTCAGCGAATACTTGCCTCAAAGACACGAGAAATATATGTATAGAAAGCTTGAAATGCCTACTTTTAAATTAAGTCTACTGAAGTCTGCCTACTTTTTAAATTAAATGAAGTCACGTCCAAAACAAATACGGTGAGAAAACTTTAAAAGTACTACAATACAAAATATAAAGGTATGCAGATACATACGTTGACAGGCAGGTAGGAAAGCCAATTAAAACGCTCGGACCGAGCGTTTTGATTGGACGAACATTTCTTGTTGACAGGCAGGTAGGAAAGCCAATTAGGACCGAGCGTTTTGATTGGATGAACATTTCTTGGTCCTACGCCTTCCACAGAATGTATAAATACAGACAAATACATTTAGACCACTTAACTTAATGATTGCTATCGGGATGTGAAGAGACTTTCAACCAGCATAACAAAAAATGTTTCTGAAGACAATCACCTATTGCACCTTTAATATGTTTTTAGATACTGAAAAAAACACAAATGTCAGGGCATGTCAAAACTTCTCCAGGGCCCCAAAACCCCCTCAGACCCCAGAGGGTTAACTGTGTATAAAGGGTAGGCATAATAAGGCTTCGGCCTACACCTTTTTCAGTAATTATGTTTATTTAATTATTTTGTGAAAAGTTGTCTGTGAGGATCGAAATTAAATTATTGATTAATTATTGATTGATTGATTGATCAAAGACAGACCATATGTTCATTATAGAAGAAAGGTTTGTTTCTTTCCTCTATGTTGTAAAAAAAGTTAGGTGTTACAATGTATCTGTAATTCCATAGAGGGCTATTATGGGGAGTAAAATTATGTTTGTAAATCATTTCCCAATAAATGAAAACTTGTTTGTGAATCTGAGAGCTTAGATGATGTTTAGTCACATTTCAATACAAATTCCATGCCCTTTAAAAAAAAAGATTAACTAATTAATTAAGGGAAATGTAAACCAGATTTCATTACCATTTATAAGAATTTTTGACCGTTTTAATTTAAGTTTTCCACTTAGAGTTAAAATCAATTGTTTTAAACCCATCATCAATGTAATCCTTTACAGTCACTGTCCTTTAATAAAATACACTTTAACAAAACGAAGTTTAAACTTGATTTCATTTATTTCCCTTATATTCTGTGGAGAAATTTGGATGGAATAAGATACATCATAAGTTTTAGATCTTTAGTCAATTAAATAGTAGGCTAGACCTCTCTTCAACCACAAGCTTAATATTTAACTTAATTTGTTTTTTATTCTTTAAATTAAACTGAAAACTCTTCATGAGTTTGAATCCAGTCCTTTATGAAGATCAAGATACCTGACTTTGTTCGTGATTGAGAATAGGCTCAATTCTAAAAAAAATTCTCAATTCTATGTCGATAGCTTTCTGAATCTGTGGTTTATTATCTTATAGTTCAAAATGTTTTCTGTATGCGAATTTCTGTTTTGTGAGAACAGGACTTTTATTTTGGTGGGGCGACGTGACGTCATAAGTCTGCGTCGCGCTCCTGCGTCTGAGATTCTGCTGAAGAAAGGTTTGTGTTTTTAATCTTTTAAAGCGTTTAAATCAATACGAACCGTTCAGACAGTTTTGCAGAGGACTTTGAAATGAATTAAATATGTTTTAATGTAATGTTATAATCTGTCTAATAACAGTAATGAACGTAGTTTTTTTATAGTAAAGCACATCCACACACGAGTAACAGAAAAGATGCGTCTGATTTAGTTCCCTATATAGTGCAGCAGTGCATCATCTAGACAGAAGAAAGTTTGATTTTTAACTAGAATATTTAGTTTTGACCCGGAAGTTTGAGCATTGTGCAAGTTGGTGTTTTGAGCTAGACAGAAGAAAGTTTGATTTTTAACTAGAATATTTTGTTTTGACCCGGAAGTTTGAGCATTGTGCAAGTTGGTGTTTTGAGTTTGTGTTTATAGTTGTGAGAAAATGATGATTTGTTTCATGAATTGTGTGTTATCAATCAAGAAAAAGCCAGACTGAAAAGTCTGAAAGAGAAAAATGTGCTGGCTTGTCTTGAAGCCACCTTGTTTAAAAACCATAAATATTTTAGTTGGTTTGGTCAGAATAGGTCTTGCGGGTGTTTGCTAGGCTCTTGCTGTGAAGTTGCTGGGGTGCAGTAACAGATATTTTTTGCAAAACTGGGGTTATTCCAGAAAGCAGGTTATGTGACATACCTGGGTTATGTTTTAGGGTAAGCAAGTGGAAAAACTCAACATTCGGCTCCAAAAACGAAGGTAACTTTCAGAATATGTAAGTAACCAGCCATACTCTGAACATAACCTGCTCCGGAGTAGCTTCTGTTTGAAGGCTAGTTTACTTCAGAGCTAGTCTCAGCCTCAGAAAAGTGCAAACACTTCAGGAGTTTAGAAGTCGTCCTCTGATTGGTTAGATTGGTTAGACGTGCGTGTCGCGTTCTTTAAAGGGGTCATATGATGCGATTTCAATTGTTCCTTTCTCTTTGGGCCTGGAAACAAAGATGCTGCGACGCCAAGAAAGCCGTGACGACGAGCGCTTATCAGGATCAAATAAACGCTGGATTTCCAAAAGTAGGTGAAATATGTCAAGTTCACGGTATAGACTCTTTAAAATACACACCGGCCTGTTATTGTGGCGACATTTCCACACCCCTAAACATGACGCGGCACAAAACGAAACGTGATTGGTTGCTTTACGTGTCAGTCATATGGCCTCTTGGGCGGGCCTTGGCCATTAAAATAAATTTAAGTCGTATCGATATAAAGCACTATCATAACAAGATTTATTTATTCTAATATGTTTATTTTATTTATTTTATTGTCATCTTACACATGGATCTGCATTCAAACATTTTTTTTCTTTTTGCAACAATGTTTTCTATAATATATTTCTATGATAAAAATACATTATCATGTGTCTTATTAAGCAGCATCAAACAAACAATATAATTCTTATTGTCAGTGATTAGCCTAAATATTAAAGAAAAATGATTGCACAACCACCAGTTAGGTGGCGATATGCACTAGGTAAGCAAATGGCCATTGAACAAAAGTAGTAGTAGTAGCATGGCGTGCTTTTTCTTAGCGTCTGTTTCCATAGTGACTCGTCGATTCATCGTGATTCATAGTCTTGTGTGTTAACCATGAACTTACACTGAGTTGAATAAACTTACTTTTTGGAACCAGGGGCCTGTTTCATAAAACAAGTTTACCAAATAAGCCAGGCTTATTTGGTAAACTTGTTTTATGAAACAAGCCCCAGCATACGAGTAAGCAAGGTTTGGGTTAATCAACCGAGAGTTCAGGGTTTAGCAGATGGTAAGTTAACCCTGCTTTCTGGAATACACCCCTGATCCAGTCTCAGTGTTTTGATGCACTTCTTTCTTTTTTTTGTTGCTCGTAAACTTGCATTAAAACGTTATTTAAACCCACCAAGTAGCCATTTAATATTAATAAAATTGCTCATGTTCTTTAGTGATACAAGCTCAGACACATTTAGCATCTGTTGATGTGTTTGACTTGGTGCCATGGATATTGAAATGTTATTTATTTTTAATTTTAAAACAATATTAGGGCTGCACGATAAATCGCATGCGATATTTAACGCGCATCTTATCAGTAAAGCCGGTTCTGTAATCAGCGGTAAATCTCCATCACGTGCGTGCTTTCACATTGAGCAGCATTAACTACACAGAGCCGTTGTTCACTGACGAGCTGCGCAAAAAATCGCGCGAATTTGAACGTGGTTTTGCGCAGCTCGTCAGTGAACAACGGCTCTGTGTAGTCCTAAACAATATAGATGATTATTTTGTGGTAATGCAATATTTGTGAACACAACGGTGCATGTCAGGCCATAAATTCCCAAAACTACTCTTGCTTTGGTGTTACCACCCTATCAATAATTTCCAGTTTTTTTTTTCCCTTCACTCGCAAACTTCCCTCCGTCTCGTTTACTCTGATGTGCGTCATTGGTTGCGTTGCATGAGTGCCCACTTCTGGCAGAACTCTTGCAATGGGCTGAACTGGAACGTCCTAAGCCAAGTTTTGAGTGTTTTTGTCTAATCAGGTCATTAACTCTGACTCTAACTCCCTTACTAGTGCGCTGACTACTGAACTAGAGATCTGATTGAGACGCTCCCAGAGATCTGTCTGTTAATTATTCTCATCTCAAACACACAGGGAAACTCCTGCTGAAGCGACTGAGATCCTCGAGACACTGTTATAAAGATGGCGTTTATTAAAGTCGAGAGCGAAGACATGAAGATTGAAGAAGCATTTAGTGTCAAACATGAAGATACTGAGGAACAGACAGAGATGGTGTTTATTAAAGAGGAGAGGGAAGAGGTGACGATTGAAGAACATTTTAGTGTGAAATGTGAAGATACTGAGGAACAGACAGAGATGGCGTTTATGAAAGAGGAGAGGGAAGAGGTGACGATTGAAGAAGATTTTCAAGTTAAACGTGAAGATACTGAGGAACTAACAGGTTGGTTTCATTCTCAAAGTCTTTCTTCACTCATGTATGCATGTGCTCTGGTGTATTGTAAACAAAGCCGTCAATATTGTCTTATCAGTTTGAGCCCGAATCAGACCAAAAAAACTAAATTACTGAAGAGGAACCTATGCAAGCACAACTTTTGCAGGACGTTTCAGTTTTTTTTCTTTGTAGTTGTCTAATACTTTTTAGATGCGATGTTATTTGTAAATATGTCAGCTTTTACGGTTTTATCGTTATTAAAGCTTTAGTGTTCGTAATGGGCTCGTAATTCTGGTGACTAACCATGGCTTTACTACAGTGGCCAAATCAAATACAGAACCATATTTAGTGTGCCTGTAGCTTAACGATCATTTGGGTAAACACTAGGGCTGCTCGATTATGGCAAAAATCATAATCACCATCATTTTGGCAGTATTGTAATAAAGATTATTTAACACGAGTGTGGGCAATATGACCAAAACTTTTTTTATGAGTGATTTATTTATAGACAGTGATATATCAAATATATATGTTATGTAAATAAGGATGCTATGACATCTTCATTTTAGAGACCAGCACAATTTCACAATTCTCAATACCACAGAATACTAGGGTAACTAATACTAGTAAAACAAAAACAAAGGACAAATACAATAGAATAAAACGATACAAATGAAACAAACTGTGCTTGAGGTGTTTAAGGCTAATGCAGGTCTAAAGTATTCAGTTAACAGCCTACTACAGAAATGAATAATCAAATGTAAAACAAAACAGCATAGTCTTCACTGTAAGAATTAATAGTTTCTTATTGAAGCTACAAAAGAGCAGTGAGTTTGTCTTTTGTTTGATTATTATTAAGCGCACAGTCGGCAGCAGAAATATAGACTGCTGTCACTTTAAGACCCGCACAAATCCATGTATTTTCATTCTCAACTATTTGTTAATTTGTTTCAAAACGACGAGGGTTTATGTGAATAATCACTAAGCGCTGCATTTTGACACATTTTTGCGTGTATTTGACTGTTTAGGCGTTCATCGGGTAAAAGATGATTTGATCAATCCGATACCAAGTAAACACAAGGCCAGTATTGCCGATACCGATACTTTTTCCTTTTAAAATCATACATTTAAATGACCAATTGCACATTGAAAATTATCAAAAACTAATGTTAATATGCCTAAAATATTACATTTACCTTAAAGCTATGTGGATATTCTTTGCTTTTCTGAAAGAACTTTGCAAGCAGAGGAGCCCAAAATATGAAAGCAATGTGCAAAATTTCATGTTAAGCATTTTCCTCCCTTTAGGGCTGAACGATTAATTGCGTTTGCGATAATATTGCGATATGAAAAAATGCGTTTTTTTCAACCCCAGAGGCTGCGATTACACTCGGTCATGTGACACGCGAGAGTAAAGAGGTGTGCTCGACTTGAAGATCGATCGGTGTATGACATCAAAGTACGGCGAGAGAAAGCATAAGGAGACGTCCGCTCTCTTATAGATCTCGCAGTACTTTGATGACACACCGATCGGTCTGAGCAGCGCTGCTTTAAGTCGAACACATCTAAGCAGTCTTCAGAGGAAGCATCAAGTTGGTACAGTGTTGCCAAGTCCGTGGTTTGCCTCCAAAAACGTGATATTTAGCCCCTGGAGTGCGAATCTTACCAGGGGAACCCCTCCAAAAAAACATGTATTTTACCCCTCGGAATGCGGTTTTTAATGGTGACCCCCCTCGAAATGCGATTTGGCTAGTTTTGGGCTAGTTTTGAGTAGCAATTGAGCGGGTTTTGTTGTGAAAACCTGGCAACCCTGGCACGCTACACACGGAGTAACAGTGTTATGGTGCATTTCATTACTGAAGACTTCAACCTTAAGATAATACATATAATAAGGTAATGTATATATATATTCTTATTTATTTAAAGTCTGTCCAAAGTTAACAGACAGTGTTTAAAAAGTGCAATCCACATGTTTACATAGGCTTGTATGTTTAGTACAGGGACTTTGAATTACCTAAGTACTGAGTGTGGTAAAGCAACAGATTTATTTTTATATTTCTGCAATCTACTTTAGTTTGTGTGATTTGTTACTGACTTTCATATTAATGTTTACACCAGGCTTATTTGTCAGTGCTTTATGTTGTCATAATAATTATTAGCCTACATGCTTACAAGGCTGGAAGTTCAACAAATCAGTCAGTATACTGTGATTGTAGTTGTTAAATAAATGTCATTCATATCAATTCACGTTTCATCGTAACATGCTTGGCCTACAGAAAAGAACATTTATGTTTAATCTATCTAATATTGTGTTGGTCATACTATACAATGATTTATTGCTTCAGTGCTTTATGTTGTCATAATAATTATTAGCCTACATGCTTACAAGGCTGGAAGTTCAACAAATCAGTCAGTATACTGTGATTGTAGTTGTTAAATAAATGTCATTCATATCAATTCACGTTTCATCGTAACATGCTTGGCCTACAGAAAAGAACATTTATGTTTAATCTATCTAATATTGTGTTGATCATACTATACAATGATTTATTGCTAGTCTTTGTTGAATAATACAGAACATAAAGAGCTTTAAAGGGGTCCTATTATGATTTTTCACTTTTTCAACTTTAGTTAGTCTGTAATGTTGCTGTTTGAGCATAAAAAAGATCTGCAAAGCTCAAAGTTCAATTCAAAAGGAGATTTTTATTTTATTTAACAGAAATCACTTTTCAAAAACTACAATGATCGACTCGTTTGGACTACAACGCATATTTTCCGGGATTTGTGATATCACAAATATCGACGAATGGGATGAGACCTGGTTGAGCTGCACTAGAGAAGGCAACGAGTGTTATCACTATGTCGGAGACACGCTAGCTTTCCCAAGACAGATGAACTTAAGAGTGGTTACAATCATCCAGGTTTAAATTGCGCTCAAATTGATTTGATTTTGATGCAATATATACACTGAAGTTCGCAGGCGGCTATGGTAAGGGAAGTGACATTTCCCGACCAGGCGCCGAGTGGAGCCAATCACAACACACACTGGCCCAGCTAACTAATCACAACACATTTCGGCCCAGCTAACCAATCACAACACATTTCGTGAGAGAGGTGTTGTAATAATGTAAAATATGTGAAAAATAATGTGTTTTTCGAACAAACTAGTATGAGAGCCTGTTCTAGTACACCCCCAAAACAAAATCAAGACTTTGTAAAAGAGCATAATAGGACCCCTTTAAAAAATAATTGCATATTAAATCGCAATATTGGTAAAAAAAATCGCAATTAGATTATTTTCCAAAATCGTTCAGCCCTAATAGAAAAGAGTTATAAAGAAAACTTAACGTGGCTTAATGCATTAATAAAGTAATATTAAAAGGCCACCTTACTGATGATGCAAACTATATGCAAGCAAGCAGCTCAGGATGTGAACGCAAAGTGTTTTTTTTTTAATGTGTTTGTATCCACCTTATTTTTCCCGTAAGAGCAGGCACGGCCATTTGTGAATTTAATGTGTCTGGCTTCCAGTCTCACCCGCTTCCAGTAATTATTAGCTGTACAAAGCAGCTTGTTTTGCTGCTTGATATTGCAAACCGGTGTTTCTTACTATAGTAAGTTAATGTGTTGTCCAGCACAGAGAGCTATATTGGGATTTTAACAGTGGTGGATGAAGTACCTGAAAGTCACACTTAAAGGGGTCATGAACTGGCTTTTTTAAAAATTATTTTTTACTATTGTGTGATGTCCACTTATGACGTTCTCATGATTTTTACATTCAAAAACATCAAAATCAATAAGTAATAGGCTATTTTCCACCCTGGTTTTGAGGCCGGCTTGAGAAAAGCTCTGTTTTTATGGGCGGCCCATGAAGACTTGGAAGTAAACGCCCACTGCTATGATTGGATAACAGTTTTGCTTAGCAAACTAACTTTCGACTCCCCCATCAGTACACGAGGGGATTTGTTTTGAAAACGTCCAATGTGGAGAACTGGCAACCAGAGTGTTTCAACCATATATGTTCGAGCCAGAGTCTGATCCCGAAAATCAAGACGATGAACCGACTACACCTCAAATACCAAGGATGCTCCAGCCTGTGACAGCATGGTTAGTCCTTATCGTCAATTATGTTTATTTCAAATTTTTTTGTAAGGTTGTTCTAACTTTTTGTTTTAATGTAACCAAAGAAGTTACTCAAAATTCAAATATTTACCAACTATGTGAAACAATGATGTGTACTACATAAGGTTTATACGTCTTGAATGTGACAAGTTAGGTTTATGAACACGTACTTAGCACAGTTATATTATAAAAAAGCATTGTTTGTCGAGAGTTGGACCTTTATTGTTCGATCAACGTTTTCTGTAAATTGAAAAACATTAACGTTGTCAGTTACAGACTGCTGTCTTGTAAATAAAATGAAAATAAATCACTTGCTATCAATAATCTGTAGGTGTACCTGTGAAAACTGTGCTGTTATGCCAATGGAAAAAGAAAATAAATGCTGTTTGGAGATTCCTGAGGTAAATACAAGGCACAGAATGTTTTTTTTTTTAAACGTATATTTGTATGTGTGTGTGTGTGTTTGTATACAGTATCTCACAGACGTGAGTACACCCCTCACATTTTTGTAAATATTTTATTATATCTTTTCATGTGACAACACTGAAGAAATTACACTTTGCTACAATGTAAAGTAGTGAGTGTACAGCTTGCATAACAGTGTAAATTTGCTGTCCCCTCAAAATAACTCAACACACAGCCATTAATGTCTAAACCGCTGGCGAATTAAAACAATTCTTTAAAGAAGAGTGGGACAACATTCCTCCACAGCGATGTGAAAGACTCATTACCAGATATTGCAAACGCTTGATTGCAGTTGTTGCTGCAAAGGGAGGCACAACCAGTTATCAGATTTTGGGGGCAATTACTTTTTCATGTAGTGCCAGGCAGGTTTAGACAGCTTTTTTCCCTTAATAAATGAAATCATTATTTCAAAACTGCATTTT